GATTCAACTGCAGTGCTGGCTTGGGCAGCTTTGATAAGGCACGGTGAACACAAACCAGAAAGCCCGAAGTAATGCAACATCTTAACCTAGCTGTGAAACAAAGCCTGTCCCTAATCCCTCTTGTATTTTCACCAATTTTGGCCAAGCACCGCAAGGTAAAATGATGCTTTATGCTTTAACTGTGTTTCTTTAAAAAAACAAAAGAAACAGACAAAGTAAAGAATTATTATCATGAAGAAAAAAGATAAATCTTGTCTAAAGGCTGCATTTTCCTAACTAATATATGGAAAATACATTTCCACCTATATCGCTAAATATTTCCTGGGAACTGTCTGAATATTTCACAATAAATACCAACTTTTGGTTTTCATAAACAACAAAACATTTTTGCAATGCCCATGTATTTAATAGCTTTCTAGTCCTACCCTGTGGCTCTCAGACACCTGAGTAGTTTCATGCCATTCTGTGGAATTACAAATGGAAATTTAGGTTGCAGAAACAGGCTCCTGGTTCACACAACTCACCCCACCAAGAGTTAGGCAGCAACTAATGGCATAGCAATGAAACAATCAATGAGCCTACAAGCTTCAGAATCACACGCCATGCCACAAGAGCACAGGTGATGTGCAGATTGACTGTAGATCTGGCAAAGCAACTTTAAAATCACCGCTCGGGATGTAAGAGAATGCGGCTACATTTAAATTCAACGGTGGAAAGAAATAAAAACCAGCAATAAAATCATGTAGCTAAACATGGAAAATAGCCAGCATTGACCTTCCCATGTACTCCCAGATGTCCTCCACCCACCATATCATTTGAAAAGCAACTAAGAAATTAGTACAGAAATAAGCTTTTAAACTGACCTTTTATTGCAGAAGTTGTAATTTCTCACCATCAAAACACCACAGCCACTGATCTTAGTGAATTACAACTGGACAGGACTGTTGCCTCAGGCAGAATTCATGTGTTGGACTTATGCAGCCTCATGCACAGGTGGGTGGCAGAGCAGATTCTTCCTTGTCCACTTGGGCTGTTATGAAAACAATCTGTAGATCTGAACAAACAGTCATGGCTTCTGTTTTGGGATTTCCAAAACCTGGATTGCCTCCCTTCAAATTTTATTTTGCTCACCAACACTGAGGCAACATGCAAAGACTTAAAAATGCTATTATCAAACCTACTTACAAGCCAAAAATCTGGCCAATTGGTCTGGACTCTGAAATCAAGCCAAATAGCCACGATCTATTTGACAGACGCAGTTGAGGACAATTTAATGTTCATTTCTTTTCACTTGAATCATGTTTGTGCTCCAGTCACAGATGCTGATGAGTGTATCCCATCGGACAGAGAGATCACAAGCTCAAGTCTTGCACCTCTGCTATAACACTTTCATGGTTTCTGTGAGATGATCTAGTAGTTGATAATAGCTGTACTTAAGGTCATATTCCATGTCATACCAATAATTCACTGTGGAGACAGAAAGAAGGAAAAACATTTCTAAGGCTAGAATGTAACTGATTTACAAATGTGTTCATAGACTGTTTTTCACAGTTCAGCTAATACAGGATTTTCCTTATTACTGACTGAACTTTGAAATGAGCAAATAACATAAGCAAACATTACAGTTCTTTAATATCACTGCCAATGCAATTCTGTCTTAACCCAAACCAACTCCTCTTCAGACTCTATACTGGGGATTCCTTGGAGTAGAAGCTGGCAAAATGTTTAGGAACAGAAAATGTACGCTTCTATTTAGACCGAAAATAACAAATACACTGCAAAGTTTAATATCTGGACAGGAACCTCTCTTCCTCTGAGTGTGTAAAGGATGGTAAATTCACCACTACTTCACAATCAATTAGACTGTATTAATTCTGCTTCTCATTTTAATTTTGGTGTGTGTCTCCTAGAAAAAATAAGCCAAGCAGTATAATATTGTACCAATGGTTCTTGGAGAAGGATATAACGTCTAGCTTCAGACATTCACTGGGACAGACCCAGAGAATATCAGTTTTTCATGCGTATACAGACTGTAATGCAGTTAACAGACTAAAGGCATCAACTAACAGACTAAACTCATCAACTCTTTAGCAGTTCTGCTAGACAGAGAAAAAGAGAGTGGCCAGGGGCTTGCAACTGGAAACAACTCTACTTTCTCTAAAAAATCTTTAAGGACTGGTGCAGCAGTACTGGGAAAAGAGCATCAGAAATACTTTTAGATTGTCTTTTTATCACAGTGTCACAAACACTAAAAAAAAAAAAAGTGTTTAATATTTACAGTGTTACACAAATACTACGGTTATGTTGCTCAAAATACTGTATTTACTCTTCCTGGGCAGACAGGATTATTCCTGGTATAGGACGGTAAAAAACTCTTCCACAAACCTCGCAAAACTCACGTGATATGATAATAATACTTTGCACCATCCCCACCCTTCCACCTGCACTAAATGAGCAATGCTTGAAATACTGGAACTCTCTTGGGGAAGGAAAAAAAAGGACAGAGAGAGATGATGAGAAATCCTACAAAGAAGGACAAGACTTTTGACAAGTGCAGGGGAACAGTAACACAAGCGTAGGCTTATTAGCAAGGCAGGAGACTGGGTCGGAGCAGATTCCAGCTCACGTGACAAGAGTATCTTCCATGTTGTGTCTACATCCACGCCTAAAACTCATACACTTTCTGGTTTTCTTTATTTTCCCCATATCCTTTTTTGCTGAGGCGATAACAGCATACACAACATGCAGTTTCTACGTACAACATGCAGTTTCTACATGAAAGGTATGCAGGTGACCACCTTGCAGTTAGCCGGCTAGGGAGACAAACTGCTGAGCTCCATGGCATAAACAGAAACTGGATCATGATCCACAATTAGCTGTCCTTCTCCAGACTTGACAACTAGAAAGACTTTTTCTTCTGCTACATCCCTAGCACTTGCCAACAATGGTATGAATTATAAGCAAAAACAGACTGCCCCATGGCATCTGCCAAGATTGTTATTTCCTCCTGAGGAGAGGTAGATGATCTTCAGGGGACCTTTGGTCCCAGTTCTGCTTCACTGTGGCACACCCAGCTGCACACCCACCACAGTTCAAAAACATATCTGGAAATACTGTGTGCCTTACCTGCTATACAGCCATGTGATTGCTGAACATGATGGAACCACAGAGAAGGCAGGTATAACATCTCACCAGCTTTCACTGTACACTGCAAAGGTTTTGCCTGAGCATACTCTGGATACTGTTCCAGATTTGGATTCAAGGGGTCCAGGGGGATCCAGGGCACCTAAAAACAAACGAGTATGTATATGTTACTGACCCTGGCAAAAAATTCCAGCAAGCTTCCAGAAAAACAACTGATAACCAAACTTATTAGGTTACAAAACCTAGCAAAACACATACAGCTACACAGCTTTCCACATTCAACTGGGAACAGGTCAAGGTTGCAAAAATTTGCCTCCTTCAGTGAAGCACTTCTAATTAGGGAAAAGGAGCTAAATGTCAGCCATGAAATTTCAGTCTTGTGGTATACTTTCAAACCATCTCCAGCCCCTTAAGTCACTTGTTCCTCCTACATTCAGTACCTGAGTATTTTACTTGCACCACTCTTTTTAGAAACTTCTTTCTTCTTCTAAAGCACTCTGGTCTAATTTTATTCCCAGCAGCTAATTGCTGGGAATTCCGTCTTGCCTGCATTCATTTCTTCTATGCCCTACAGAGCTGTACACCTCAGCACTCCACCTTGCTGCATTACGGGAATGCTCCCATGAGATTCCATGAGCACCACTCTGGAAACAGAGAAGAAGCCTCAGCTCAAGTTCAGCTGTAGCATTAGTAACACATTGCACAGGCAAAAGGGGAGAGATTAGATACAGAAGGCTACTGAGTTTTTGTAAAGTGCCTCCATATCTATACATTTTAATCAAATAAATATTGCGGCTATTAAGTAAACACAATTTATTCATTGAGACAGATATGTTTTATTACACTGGGTGATACTGCTGTACAGCAAACTCTAGCCCTGAGTAGAGGGCCAAGAGAAAGTGAATGTAGAGGAGTCTATTTCAGTCTTAATGTAATAAATTCCTTTATTGTTGATTCATTTCAAAGTCCTTTACTGGACCAATTTAAGTTTGGTGCAAGGAAAACAGTTTCTCATATCAATGGTTTCAGGTGTGCAGTAAAAAAATCTTTTCTGGAAGCTGGGTATCCTTTGTGAATAGTGAAATACAAGTGAAATATCTGGGCATTCTCTTTCTAGTAATGAAGGATTTCTAAATATCAATCAATATGCTCAGTTTGAGGGCTAGGCAGTGCCCAAAACTATATTTACAGTATTGACTGTGTTCTTCATATAGCTTTTACCTTATCTGCACTCTTCTCATCCACAATTTCAAATGAGCCATCTTCTGACACCTGGTAGGTTGCTGGCTGATAGAACTCTGGAACCACAGCAAGAATTAAGCAACACAACTCAAGAGTAGTACTCAAAAACTAAACCACGCATTCACCAAGAAAAAAATGAGAAAAAAACATTTTCAACTCACTGTCCTTCCCTTTGCCCATTTCAATTTTTATCCAGTTTCTTTTTTTTTTTTTTTTTTTTTTTTCAGTCTCAATACTGAACTGTATTCCTGTTTGGAATTACAAACTTCTTTCTTCACAGGAATTATTCTCTTCAAAACCCATTTTATTCCTGGTTCTATCTTGTTCCCGGAACTGTCTTGTTTCCCTTTCAGAAGTTATAAATGCACCCCTGACTCACATAACATTCTATATCCCAGTGTTTCTTCTTAAGTCAGCCCAGAAAGACAGCACTCACAAGAGTTATTAGTGACTTGTGGCCAGCCGTTCACTTCTAATTTTAACCAACAGGGCTCGTCAACTGCTTTAGATACTGCAGTTTGTTTTTCTTTCATTGCTTCAGCACCTGTGGTTTCCTAAGCCCTCACTTCGGAGCTTCTGTCCATTAACCTGATGTTAAAAAGATGGAGTAATCTTTTTTTATTGCAAACTATAAAATGTAAGCGTTATCTCTGTCCTATGCTTTAACTTGTTTTACGAAGTATGACTCAGATGACATACACACATTTCATACATATGACAACACCTCTCCTACAAAGAAAGGCAGAGACAGATGGGGTTGTTCAGCCTGGAGAGGAGAGGGCTCTGGGGAAACCTTATTGTGGCCTTTCCAGAAATGGGGCTTATAAGAAGGACAGAGGAAGACTTTTTACCAAGTCGTGTAGTGACAGGACAAGGAGCAACCATTTCAGCCTGAGAGAGGGTAGATTTAGATTGGATATAAGGAAGAAATTTTGTACAATGAGGGTGGTGAGACACTGGAACAGGTTTCCCAGAGAAGCTGTGAATGCCCCATCATTGGAAGTGTTCAAGGTCAAGTTGGATGGGGTCTAGCGAACAGTGGAAGTGTTCAAGGTCAAGCTGGATGGGGTCTAGCGAACACCACAGGGGATGGACTAGATGATCTTTAAGGTCCCTTCCAACCCAAACCATTCTATGAGTCTAAGATTTCAAGGCTGTAATCAAAATAAAACCAGTATAAATAAAACACTGTAGCACACATCTAGGCAAAAATGATTTCAAGGCTGTAATCAAAATAAAACCAATATAAATAAAACACTGTAGCAGCACACACATCTAGGCAAAAACTACATTAGTGTCACATAGCACTCTGCATTCACTTAATCTGATGGTTTGAATGTCAAGGAATGGGAAAATAAAATCTTATTTTATGAGGCATAAAGTTAAGCTGTCCATCTTCTAGATGACACTGCAACACAACAAACTGTTACTGTGCACACAGGAAAGCAACATAAAGAAGCAGAAAATGGGCAATGCAAAGTAATACTGCCATAAGAATATATTTTTTCATTTCTCCAGTTTTCAGAGATTCAGTTAGAAACTTGAATATTTCATTAAATTACAACTTGTTTTTCAGCTTCCTGGCTTTTTTCCTAGAGAAAACAATGAGCAGGCAGAATCCAAACCTGTCAAACATCAAAGATAACATGCTCACAAGCTACTTAAATAATGTAAATATTCTAAAGCTGAAGAGACTGCCATGAGTATCAATGAACCTATTACTTTACAGGACTGGAAAACCTGATCTCAGTATAACGTTTGTGTTACAAACTAACTGCAGCATGAAATAGAAGAGATTTCTGTTCACACCGGACAGTGTAACACTGCATAAACACCAAAATGCTATCTCTTCTTCCTTTTCATATATTTCAACATTTTAGTCTCCCCTCCTTCCAACCCCCTTATAGACTGCATAGTAAATAATGTACCATACGGGATGAAGGGACGGTCACTCGGTGAATGAAGTAGAAAATATTTCTCTCCAGATATCACACAGTACAGGTTCTCATAATGATCTTTATGTACTAGGATTAAGAGAAAATGAGATGTGAAGAAAGAGAGAAAAACAGTGTTATTTCCTTCTCTACAGCAGAAGCAATAGTAAACCGAAAGCATCAGCTTGTCCTCTTACTATCAGGCTGTTTCCTCCTCTCGTGGCAGTGCGAGTGGAAAGCAACAATATAATGTAGTAGCAAAGTTACTCAACTAAATAGTCAGTGCCCTGCCTGACACAATGCCGGGTATATGTGCACAGAGACACAGCACCAAGAGGCTGCAGAAGCGCAGGAGAAAGAATGCAAAAAAATGATGTTAAAGTAGAACTGCCTTGTCAGAAAAAACATAGTCCTACTGAGCCACTAACTCCAGACAAGCCCACTGAAACCTGTGCTGAAAGCACACAGACTTACAGCGCCATGTAACACGTACGTGATGTCACAGCAGCTGATTCCCCCAGCCAGAAATTCACAGCATCAGGCTTCTTCCCTGTGTGGTTAGGGAATAGAGAAATGCTGTCAACAAAAAATTTGAAGTGTCATGTTTAAAAGCATTTCAAATAATTTTCTGACAAATTCTGTTCTTTAACTTCCTTCATAACCGTGACAGGTTTCATTGCAAATAGCACTCTGTGAGCAGCAGTAACCTCTTTCTACGCTGGAAGCCACCCATCACACTTCATGACATTATTGTATTATCCATTCCCAAAACGATGGCTAGAACCCTTTGTTTCCACATTCTGAATCTGTAAGACTCAGCACACAGAGAACCTGCAGCGTATCTACCTACAGTTGCAAAAAGAAGGTGAGATGACAGTAAATCATTTTCACTGACATGTTAAGGAAAGACATGCTGTAAAATAGAAACCAACTGAAACAGAACAGTGTTTAACTAGAAACAAACATCCGTAATTTTAGCAAAGAGGGTGGGGGCTCTGTGTTGTTTCACTCGTTTGTTATGCTAGCTTTGGCAGCAACAGCATGAATGCAAGTCAAAACATGATTAAATCAGAGAAAAGCCAGGAGATGAAAAGAAGCACTATATGGCACTATCACCACATTGTTTCAGTTGTGATGGTCCCAACACACAACTGAGAGGCTGATTCTGAAGTAATCTGAATCCAAAACTTGGATTATTCTATTAAGGATTTTACCACTCCTGCTTTCTATGGGGATGAAATCAAACTGAGCTGTGGCATCCACAAACACAACAAACATTCACCATGATCATGTTTTAAAGCTCCATGCAAAATATTTACTGAATATAGAGAAATAGAAGGCTTACCAAGTGCCTCACTCATCCATGGTATGTCAGGTTGCACATCACAGACAAGTTCAGGGAACTCCTCGGTGAGGTTTGAACACTGCTTCTGCACATAGAATACATTGGGAGAAGTCACCTTCTTCTCCACAATGTCCAAAAAGTCCATGAAACGCATTTGGCGCTCTTCTGGCATGACAAAACGGTCTTGAAACACTGCATCTGCATAACCATGTGGTGTTACTGCCACACTCACTACGTTGGGACCAACTACCTCCCTGCAAAATAAATCAAAGGTTTATAAACAGACCTGCAGTGGCCCATATATTGATTACTTTATAAACAACGTGTTTAATGGGCAGCAAAAATAAGAAGCCTGGCTTTCCATGGATGGGTGTCTCTAGACTAGATTTTCTGCTATGCGGTGAAGACTGGCATTCTGCTCCGATTGCTCCCTGTGATCAAGACAACTGTAGGATGTTTTGCCTCTCTGAATTCTCTCCTGTCTAGCAGGTGAGTTCACAAAGGACCTCCCTTTTCCTCCATGCAGGCAGAGGGCCCTCTTCAGCCCCTTCTTTTCATGAACCATGGCGGAGTTTGATATTCTCAGGACTACTCTACCCAGCCAAATTTGGGCGGCCACATGTTGGAAAGCAATTATGGAGGGAGAAGGTTGGACACAGACCGATACATAAACACATTATGAGGCTAACAGCTCTTTGTTCTGGAAGAAATTTATCTTCAAATGCACAGATTTAGGTCTGACCCACAGATTTTAGGTTTAACCATAAATCCCCACTTAAAGAAGAATCTTTCTTTAAAAAAATCATTCATCATTAAAATGCCCACCTTTTTTTTTTTTTTTCCAAAAAAACCCACAAGGTGTACTCAGTCACCAGCAAGTCAGTCTGTTCTTACAGCACTACAGCCCCACTTCAACTATGAGGACACAAGGTGGAGCACTGGCCAGAGCACAGCGACAGGACTGGGTCGCGACTGGGTCTGCTGCAGACAGTCCAAACACCCGCCCTCCTGACTGCACCAGAACTGGGCAGGGCAGTATGTTTGCAGGAAGAAATCTATACGTGAGCTATAAACATGGTGGCAGGACCAAACACCTTCATACAGAAGCAGGAAGGAATCTGAGCTAATGTTATGAATGAAAACAAAGATTACCAAGGGTAATTTTACCAAGGTCAACCGAAATTGACCAACAGTCCTGCACCAAAGCTCCTTCATACCTGAGGTACCCCGAGGTCCATTTCTCCAGAGCTGGCCAGTGGCTGATGGCATTCCGAATTATACAAGGTTTATTCGGACTCACCCATTCTCGATAAAACTCCAGTGGGGACGGAGGCCTATCCAGATAGGGTACGGACTCTGGCCACCCCAGCTCTGTCCAAGCAAACCAGAAACAGTTTTACTGAGCATCCTGAGAGAAGCATCCTCTGCTAGGCCACTAACTTCAAACCCCAGAACACAGGCGGCTTCGGAAATCGCCCTGTTAAAACCCAGCAGCTGTCAGGGAGGGTTTCAGAGCCAGACAGGT